GGCGGCGGCGAGCCCGGCGCCCCAAGAGGACCATCCATATTGACTGTGAGAAGCGCATCACTAGCTGCAAAGGCGCCCAGGCCGACGTGGTGCTGTTTTTCATCCATGGTGTCGGCGGTTCCCTGGCCATCTGGAAGGAGCAACTGGACTTCTTTGTGCGCCTAGGCTATGAGGTGGTGGCTCCTGACCTGGCGGGCCACGGGGCCAGCTCTGCGCCCCAGGTGGCCGCAGCCTACACCTTCTATGCGCTGGCTGAGGACATGCGAGCGATCTTCAAGCGCTATGCCAAGAAGCGAAACGTGCTCATCGGCCATTCCTACGGGTAAGTGAACCCTGGCACGTGGGGTGGGGGTGAGGGATGGGGGTCAGCAGGGACTGACAGTCACAAAATACTGAGTTTTTGGCTGGGCCCTGTGGCTCACGCCTGTAATCCCAGCACTTTGGGAAGCCGAGGCGGACGGATCACCCGAGGTCTGGTGTTCGAGAACAGCCTGGCCAAGGTGGTGAAACCCCGTCTCTACCAAAAATACAGAAATTAGCCAGACATGATGGCACGCACCTGTAGTCCCAGTTACTGGGGAGGCTGAGGCAGGATAATCGCTTGAACCAGGGAGGTGGAGGTTGCAGTGAGCCAAGATTGCACCACTGTACTCCAGCCTGGGTGACAGAGTGAGACTCAGTCTCAAAAAAAACAAAAAAACAAAAAACTGAATTTTCAGTCCAGATGCCGCTGATGCCTGTAATCCCAGTGCTTTGGGGGGCCAAGGCAGGAGGATATCTTGAGGCAAGGAGTTCAAGACCAGCCTGGGCAACATAGGGAGACCCTAGCTCTGCAAAAAGTACAAAAATTAGCTAGGTGAGGAGGTGCACACATATAGTTCCAGCTACTTAAGGGGCTGAGGCAGGAGATCGCTTGAGCCCGCGAGGTTGAGGCTGCAGTGAACTGTGATCACACCACTGCACTCCAGCCTGGGCAACATGGCAAGACCCTGTCTCTCTTTTTTTTTTTTT